GGAGAGAGAGAGAGGAGCAAAGATTCGTGGATTTAAAAATTCGTTTTGCTTTTTGATTCTTGAATTAATAATAATAATAATAATAATAATAATAATAATAATAATAATAATAAAATTAACAAAAGATCATTCGTCCAAAAAAATCTTCATCCTACGTAATTAAAAATCGGTTCTTTGATTCACGAAATTCACAGTTCAAAAATTACCATTTTTTTAAATTAAAAAAATCCTGTTATTAAAGATCGTTCCTCCCACTGTTCAAACAGAGATTCACAGTTCAAAAATTTCCCTCGAATCAAAATTCCTACAAAATTAAAGACTTCATTCCGTTGGCTTCGATATCTTCGATGAGAAAAAAAATATATATATACATAACATAACGTGGTGTATATTTTTAGGTGGTGGGCAAATGGTTCAACTCGCTGGACATCCGTACCGAGGAGCTGGTGTGGGCGCGGGGTACCAAGGACATACCGATCTCCGCGTGCTCGCTTCCCTGCGAGCCAGGTATGATAAAGAAGCAACAGGGTGACACTTGTTGCTGGGTGTGCGACCAGTGCGAGGAGTACGAGTACGTGCACGACGAGTACACCTGCATGGACTGCGGGCCCGGCAAGTGGCCGCACGAGGACAAGAGGGGTTGCTACCAGTTGGCCATAAATCACATCAGGTGGGACAGCGCGTTCGCGATCGCCCCCGCGGTGATCTCGTGCCTGGGGATCGTGGCAACTATGGCGGTCGCGTGCCTCCTGTTCCACCACAGGGACACGCCGGTGGTGAGGGCGTCCGGCCGCGAGCTGACCATCATCCTGCTAGCGGGGGTGCTCGTCTGCTACTTGAACACGTTCCTCCTCCTGGCCACGCCCACCACCGTCACCTGCATACTGCAGAGGTTCGGCGTCGGGGTGAGTTTCAGCGCGGTGTACGGGGCGCTGTTGACCAAGACGAACAGGATCGCGAGGATCTTCGACTCGGCGTCGAGGACCGCGGTCAGGCCGAGGTACATCAGTCCCGCGTCCCAGGTCTGCATCGCGGCCGCCCTCATCGCGTTACAGGTGAGCAGGAAATTTGGAAATTCACCCTTTGGTTCGACTAGGAATGGATGATAGGAGGGGATCGAGTCGGGCTAATATTTTCTATGATATAATTGGAATTGCGCGGTGTACGGGGAATTGGGAAAATA